TCTGTTTCTGGTTGCGTCCAAATTATTATCTTCAGTCATGCTTTGCAGACTGTCCAAGACCTGGAAAAATTGACTCATGAGGAGGAGGCTAGTTTACGTTCTGGTCGAGGATGTTTTGATCATATCTTCACTCTCCCCCAAATGTTGGGACACTTCCATACTTATCACAGACCGACATTCGCAATGTTTCTTGACATTTGGGACGCCTTAGACTGGTTGGATAGGGTTGTTCTCTGGGATTGCCTACTGAAGGATGGTTGCCTGGAAACTTTATTAACATCTTGAGAGCCCTGTATACGAGCACCTCAGGTAGTGGGGGCATACAACGGCTACTCCCCATTGTTTCATTCAAGAAGCAAGGTTAATCCGGGTTAACCATTCCCACCATTACTCTTGTGCTCTGTCATCAATGACGTCCTGGAAACACTTCTGATGGATATAGATAATGGTAGTGTAGATTTGTTGCCTATGGAAAGTCTTTTGATATTGTTTAGCTGTGTGATGATACCCAAACCATGCAACCTGCACTTATTCAATTGACAAATAGTGTCCGTATGCATGGCATGTGCTTCATACCTTTCAAGTGCAGAGAACTTTTACAAAACTGATAGAACCCTGAACTTGCACTTTTGATAGTGAGCAGATAAAAGTAGCTGCATAAGTGCTGGTGGTTGCGTGAGCAATGAGATAAATTCACGCACAGTGAAAGCCGAAGCGGCTTATGCCAATCTGCGCCATCTTTGGCTCCTTCATTTTGTTAGTCTGGCTGCAAAAGGTCGGATGAACAACGCATCGGTGAGAGCATTTTTGCTCTGTGCCTGTGAAGTTTGGCCTCATCAAGTAGAGGACGTTAAACGACTCTCCGTGTTTGATCATTGTTTTCTCCGCAGGTTTACTGACATCCAGTGGCAACACCATGTTAGCAATATAGAGGTTCCGCATTGTCTGTTCGGGCACAATGATGATAATTTAATCCGTGTCAATATCTTGAAACACTGACTTTGATGACTTGGACATGTTGTTGAGGCTTCGCCTCGCTAATCAATCACCTTGATAATCGTTATTAAATAAATTGCAACGGTGTTTTAAATCAGAAGGCAATAGGGAGCGGCAACCAAAGTTCGTTAGTAGATGGCACAGATAGTTGTAAAAGAAATTATATGCTACAAAGTAAGATGACAAGCTAGCAAATGATATGACATTCGTGGACTATTGTCGATTGCTGACGGAGTTAGTCATCCTTGATTGGAAGTCAAACAGTGAGCTAGTTGACAGTTCTCCCTTGGTCTGCGAAAACAGAACTAAGATGTTTTTGATGGATAGTTTAAGTGAACCGACGTTCCTACGGAAGTCGATTCTAGGGGATAGCTAATGTAACAGCTTAGGTTGATTGGTTAAGGGTTGACCTCAAACAACTAAGCATATGCTAAAACAGTATAGTTCAAGTATTCATTTACTTCCTTATTTTGTATAGGCGTTATATTTCCTATTATCATATATTGAACGTTGAGAGGCTTTGTTAGTCTGAACAGATGATCCCACGCTCCACTGCCACTACGCGAAGATCTAAAAAATACCTACTCACTACTGGTCTCGTTTTTTCTACCAATACCACGAGGGACACTACTGGTAGGAAAAGAGTATAAGCTATGATCAGGGCAAGTATAGCTTCCAATTCATGTTCACGATAATAGCATGAACTTTTTTCAGTGTTGAAATAAATACAACAGCTGTGTTTCCAGATTCCAGGAGACACGGTCGTTTTTTTACACTGGTGATTTGTGCGAGTGAGTGCGTCGCTGGACCTTTACTTAGATGAGCAAATGATATAAAAACACACAAAAATCGTCGGTTAGATAATGACAACTACGAGAAAACAATACTGCTCATTGAAAATTGTTGAAGATGCCACAGGTTTTCAGAGTTTGACAACGCTTTAACCAGTAACATCTATTATGAAGCGTGCCCACCAAGTGAAATCAGAAGACAGAAGCGAGGAGATCGAAGGTATATTTGATAAGCTATCAACATATTGAGGATCGTTTGAACTAATCTAGCTAGCGATTGTGACAGATGTTGAGCACGGCGTTCTCACACGTGATCTGGTGATAATGCTAGATGAGTCCAATGTCGAAAACTTACATAACTATTTATTTTGGGGATTTATTTACCGCTTCAGATCACTCCCTCCCTAGTGGGGTAGTGATGACCCCAAGACGTGGCCAGCCGAAAGTTAAAACCCAACGAGTTTTTCGTTTGTAAACACTCTTCTCATAGATTGCTAGGTTTATCAGCGCCTGGTCGTCTTTCCTTACTATAATGGACCATAAAGTACAATATAGTAAAAAAAGGAAAACACAAAGCGAGCGAAAACATGGAAAATAAACTCACGCTCACGTGATAGCGCAAAAAAAGGATTTTTATAATATTGTTTTTTTGTTTGCTTTTTTTGAAAAAAAGCAAAAATATATATGTATTCTAAATTTTTTTTAAATTATATATAGTACAAGGAAAAATCGAGACTATATGAAATTACATGCAGTAATCGTTCAGATGTTCTGAAAATCTTACTCCTCTTCCAGAAAGCATTGTTTTGAGTTTATTTTTTGATATTGTCGAAGTATCAACGTGTGTGTCGGCTGTCGATTGAGGCATTATAAGGGCAGGAGTTGTGTCGTGCGATTGTATTGAAGGAAAATCGACGCGCATAGGATTTCCTTCTAAATACGCTGCTTTGAGGCGATCGATGCTGATGCTTTCGTTGGTTCCGTTCTTATAGATTATATAGTACTTAGATTCGCGTTGAAGAACTTTGAAAGGTCCTTCATATGTTGATTCGAGAGGTCGTCGATGCGAGTCTCGACGTACGAAGACTTGTGTACTATATCGTAAGTCAGGTTGAACGAAAACATCAGTTGATTGTGGTCGAGTGGAAACAGGTTTAACTGAACGCATTGCGTTTGTAAGCCTGTTCGTGTAGGAGGTTAGATCCGTGTTCATTGAAAAGGATGAATGATCCACGAATTCTCCTGGAAGTCGAAGTTTCGTACCATAAACGAGTTGAGACGCAGTGTATCCAATGTTGGCATTCACTGCATTGCGAATACCAAGTAAGACGAGTGGAAGTGCGTTGATCCACTCTGAAACGTTTGCAGCTGATAGTGAAGCTTTTAGTTGTCCGTGAAAGCGTTCTGCCAACCCGTTTGCTTGTGGGTGGTAGGCCGTCGTTCGGAAGCGAGTGATTCCTAATAATGCGGTCAGACAACGGAAAAGTTCAGATTCAAACTGACGTCCACGATCTGTAGTGATGGTTGTTGGGCAACCGAAGTTTGCTACCCATCGTTCGGCGAAGGCGCGGGCCACTGTTTACCGCTACATTGTCATGCAAATTATCGACTGTATTTGCACTAATAATTTAATCAAATTTGTCACTCATACAACGTGATTTTCATGTCTTGACATTGGTCTATGACGATATTTAGAAACCTTTATGAATAACTATTTATGGTGTTGACAGTGTATTGGCTAGTTCGAAATAGATATCGTTCAAGATGCTAATACTTTAGACATTTCAAAATACGTCAGCTTTTAGGTGCTCAGAAGAGTTAGAAATTTAACGTGGTTTGTGCAACATTAAGAAATGCGTATTACAGTATACACCACTACGTAGAAGTATTCTTTGTACCCGCCGTAATTGTGGACTCCAGAGTTTTTATTTTGAGTATTTGTATAACAGACAAATATACTATAGTTAATACATTATAAAATATAATATGTAGTAGTATATTTCTACCAGTACAGTACGATAATATCTAAATGCGGTAACTGTTTTCGCCCATGGTTTTAACTATGAGAAACGTCTTGCTAGATTTACAATGTCACGGTCGAGCTCGAGAGATAAAGACCTCGCGGCTTAGTGGAAAATGTTAGGAGCGGTTAAAGTTATAATCTAATTCGTGTGATATTAAGATATTATGTATGTAAGCTAGGTTAACGCGTAAGTTGTCTTAGAACACGAAAACTGGAAAAGCTTGGAAACTAGATTAAAAGTATGAGGTATGACTTGGGGAACTGCAATCAGGAACATGACGAGGATAATATGGAGTTTTCGTAAGAGATTGCTGTTGATTTAGTACAAATCCAAGTAAAGTCCAGAAAAGCACGTGGAAATCGAGAAGGCAGTGATCAAACAAAATAAAATAATCAATGAAAGATTAGATTTAGATAAATATTCAGTGCCTGTTTACATTTATTGCCAGCCTCTGTGTGTTTACGTTGAGTAACCAACGTATTTACCAGTGGTTAGTGTTTTAACAAACCCATTTCACTGAAGCATATAAATGTCACTAAAACTGAACAATGAACTATAATAGCTATTCATGACTATACTTGGTCAGTTATTGGTATCGAACGAACTGTTAAACCGACTATTCAAACAAGAAAATAATACACGTGAGCATCAATGCCCAGACTAGTAGAATAACAAAGTTGGAAATCAATCGATAAAGCCTTGAGTGGATATGAAGGTTGTTAAGGGGTCGGATTCATTTGATCGATCTCACTAACTCATGATTATGGTCTTGGTATGCAATAATATTCTTGTCAGCCTTCATACCTTAAGCAAAGTAAGGTGACTGCACTTAATGTGTTTTCAGTGATCGTCAAACTTTCGAAGGTATCATTAAGAGGCATCAAATTATTATTCAGTGTTGGTTTTACTATTTTCATTGTCAAATACACCGTTCAAGAGTCTGACACACTTGGTGATCTTTAAAAAGGAATATGAAAACCAATAATAGTTCGGGATTATATTCAGTAGCTATTTCATAGGTATGCAGAACATTAACACTGCACCTCTGATTTCGATCTCGGAACAAAAATTACTTTTATCATACCGGTTAGACAAATATTGAGGACTGTACATTTTGTTTGATTCGCTCGGATACAGCATACTTGACCTTAGACATGAGGTCTAAATTCTAGTCTACTCACGTTATTTGATGTCCGAATCTAGTGTCCAGGTTATTAGCCCGGTTAAAAGCTTTTTAGCTGGTGGGTTTGGTGGAGCATGTTGCATTGCAATTGGTCACCCTTTCGACACAATAAAGGTTTGCTTTACTAATTCTCAGATTACTGAATGTTTATTTCCACCTCATTCCTGCAAACGTATTTTTCGCAGCTTGTGTTTGTCATGGTTTCATTTCTATATCTGTTTTACCTACCATAGTTCTTGTTAATTATATATCTTATCACTTCTCAGTACTCAGGTAACCATTACTTTCACCTTCGATGGTCTGTGGTATATTGTTTTGTGAAGCATTACTAGGTAGTGTTCATTGATTTTAACACTTCTTAATCATAATGGAACCACAGTTATGTCCCACTTGTAAGTAGTTGTTTCGTTCACTTTCACTATCGCTTTACATTCCATTAAATCTCGTCGCAGCGTAAAAATGGGTATTTTTAAAATACAAGTATATTTGTTAAAGATATCGTACATACAATATAAATAGATTTTTAGTCGTTCCAGTTGTGTTCTTTATAAGATGGTTCTATGATTCGTTATTTCAGAGGCTATGACATCAAGCCTAGACCGTTCAAGTCACCTCTTAAATGTCTAAACTTCATTCATACGTTAAAATATTCTAATTACTATCAACTGACCGGATCTCGAATTTTTAATTCCGGCGAAGTACATTATCGTAATCAGTCGTAATTTTCTTCCGAGCAAACCAATTTAAAATGTGATTTTTTGTATAGGAGTTCATGATCAGTAAAAATCTATTAGATACTTTTTTGCCTGTAAATTACCAAGTTGCTTTTTTTAGGTTCGACTTCAAACAATGCCTCACGTAACATCAGGAACAACGCCTATGTATTATGGGACTTTTGACTGTGTCAAGAAAACTGTAGCGGCTGATGGCGTCTTTGGACTTTATAAGGGGATGGGGGCACCCATAGCTGGAGTGGCTCCTGTATTCGCCATTTGCTTTTTCGGGTACAATTTAGGTAAGCAGCTTTTTGCCAAGGATCCAATGAACTTAAGGTACATGCGATTTCTCACGTGGTTACATTATTGTAGGAAACATGAAATTTTGTTTGCGGGAATGTTCTCTGGCATTTTTTCAACTGCAATCTTGGCTCCAGGAGAGCGTATAAAGTGCCTATTGCAAGTAAGACTTTGATGTAACTGCGTTTTCCTAGCTATTTGTGTTTATTTAGGACTTCACAGCATCCTGTGCACCTAGTCACGTATATTAAATATAATTTCACACAGATAATAAAGCTAGATTTGTGCTACTGTTTATTTTTTCACCCTTAAAAGTGGTTGAATAAATTACCATATGAAATAGGGCTCTGGTTGACTATCATGTTCAAATGGTTTTCGGGCGACACCTTTTGGATGTTGCGTAAATTATGTTAGGAGAACTCGTTTTATTTTCGAAAAATTCCTTGCACACATAACTACGTAACTTAAGTTGCTTCCTCCTTTCCTGGTAGGGCCTCAAATTCCTAGTTGCATCTTTCACTTTTGAAAAGGATGGTTTGTAAGATGTTAAGTTAAAATTTAACTACACAGCCTTTTGTTGACCATCAGTTAGCGTTTGTAAAAAAGGATGGGAGCTAAGAAATTGTTCTAGTTCTGGGGCCGTGAAATACGTATTACGATGCGTATCACCTAGCTCTACACTGACAATAGCCCATAAATCAGAAATCCCTTTGTAAATGTTTATGTTTCTCATCTATTTTTAAAGATTGCCTTTTCAGTGCTCTAAATGCACGACCAAATAAGTTTGGACTACTAAAATCAACAAGTACCCAAAAATTGTTTGACCAGCAACAACTTCAGTGTTTTGATTGCCTTTGAATGTACTATTTACTCGGTTACATATTCTTGCATTTAAATATTTTCTGACCAATAAAACACTAACTCGGTTAAGCAAAGAAATTTCGTAAAACCGTAATGTTATTCTTTACTCGTCTGCCAAGTATTAGATCTCTAGTTTGCCAGTGTAGCCCTTTTTTCTGTTCTGAGGTAGTTAATTATCCAAGTACTTGAAATCTGTAGCTGCGTACTTACTAGTTCTCTTGATGATTACGTTATCTCAGTAGATTTTAAATTACAATGTCTTTTTGACTATTCGCCGACTCAAAAAGTTACTCTAGGGAGTTATTTCATATTATTTCGAATAATTTATAGGTTCAGTCGAATGCAATTGGACCTTTAAAGTATAGTGGACCGGTTGATGTTCTTCGTCAGTTGTATCGCGAAGGTGGGATTCGAAGCATTTTCAAGGGGACAGCTGCAACACTTCTGCGAGGTATGGTCACTTAACTGTACATTCATATAGTCCCTCAATAAAATCCCAGTTAAAATTTCCCTAGAGTATAGAAAGCAAGCTGTCGTAAGTTATGTCCAGTGACCGTAAATAGTACATATATATCCGCAGTGGCCAGTCATGATAACCACAACACACTTTTGGTTTTAATATTTTCCACATTAGGGGAAACGTATTTCAAAATATTGAAAATAGCAAATTTTGCACCCCCCCCTTTATTGTGTACTGAACCTCTTTGGTTAAACTAATAAGATTTAATGAACTGACAAAGCTGTGCAACTCTATATTGAAATCACTTGGTCTTCGATCAGTCTTCATGTTTCGGTTATTCTCATTGTTTAAAGCACTTCTATTTTCTACTTATTTTTTCGAAGTTATCTTCGTTATTATCTATGTGGTTTGTAATTCCATCTATGATAAAGCACACTGCAACCTGTTCATTACTAGTTATTCATGATTAATGGCTTAAACGAATATTGACATTAGTCACTTATCAGTAACCGATCATTGTTTAAATTTCTTATATTTGACAAAAACTAATAATAAATATTTCATAGGTTTCCTTGTAATAATAAATCTACTCTAAAAGTTTACAACTTTGTCTACCTTTGCGTAAATTGTTCAGTCAACAGAATCAAAAATGTTTATATTTATACAGGTTTTTATGAAATGAAGTCAACTTTTTAAATTAGTTCAGACATACTATGCCATTTCGTAAATTAACATTAAATTTTTTTAAGAAACTAAAAATTTCAATTTGGTAAAAATATGTGCAAAAAATCAGGGGCTTGAACATATAAATAAATAACACGCTATTCATTTGTACCGTCATGAATGTTACATTAATGTATATTGAATATCAGTAATGAATCGAACGTGATATTTTTTACATTAATCTTTCTGATGTTTACTTTCTCAATCGAGTTGATATTTGGTTAGAAATAAGTATATCAGATTAACACTATGGTCAATTACTTCCCATATAACCATACAAGATATTTCTCAGTCGGTCAGTCAACTGCAACGTAGGACCAGGCACGTATATGCATCGGTCCAAGTTGCCATACCGCATTAGCACAACAAGATGAACACCGGATTCATAGGAGTAGTTAATTCAGACAAGATATTTCTACGGGTTGATTGATCATATTTACTTTAATTATCATGCTGACTAAAATAATTATTATTCATTTTATACTTATATTAGATGTCCCTGCATCTGGAGTGTATTTTCTGAGTTATGAATTAATGAAAGATGCATTAAGGAATCCACACTCAAAGTGAGTGCTTTTGATGTAGATTAAAATTTTTAAAATCTGTAAGTTCATATCAGATGTGATTTTTGATATAAAAATATGTCCTTAAAATGTTCATCTGAGTATCAGTGTGTTCATACGATTATATGTTACTTGCTAACTTTTTACTGAACTTTAACATAGTTCATGAAGTGAATTTCTAATTACTGTGTTGCAACTTAGTGTTACCTATGTTTTATTTCACTCTTATGTATAACACAAAAGATTCTCATCATGGTGAGTCAAAAAGTGCGCCACAAAAAATCATCTTATCAAAACTAGAATCAAGATAATAGATTACAACCATGTAAAAACACTTAAAGTAGATATTATTCTTCCCAAAAGTAAATACCGTTTATACGTAATACAGTAAAAAGAAACATTATAGTCTCTAATGGCTTCTATTCTAACCCATGTATTTTGACGTACCAAACCGTTGATTTTGCACGATTTTTATGACTACTTCAGTCAGGGTAGTATTCCAGCACTCACACAAATCATTCGATTCGCGTAGTGCGTATGTATTCGGTGCCTCCTTGTACCAATATGTATAAATAAATATGACTATCTAATGAGTCATCATATGTTAACAAAGAGTCAAACGAAAACATGCGTTGTATTGTGTCAAGATTTTCTAGGTTACGTAAACAGGCTCCATATCCATCCACTGGATTTAAGCTAGATGTTCATTTCCACTGTCACTTCCATGAAAATGGTGTCATTTTATGAGGAAGACTATGAATTCACAGGCTTATGGGAGCATTTCGTGTAAGATTGGACTTTCTCTGCTTTCCGTCGTAGATGTTTTGGGGATTACATGTCCACTTTGATATCATATTCGAGTAAGATAATTTACCATCTCATTAGATTCTATCTGTAACTTTGCCACAAAATTTTGTAAGTTTATTAGTTTGGGTTATTATCAAGGAGGCTGATCTTAGGTGCATTTTAATGGACTGTGTTGACATAAATACAAAAAAAATACTGATCGATAGACAATGTGCAATTATACGAGACACAGATGAATTAATATCGAAAGTCAGGTTAACTAGGCAGTGGAGTAGGTTTTTCTTTTAGTGAAGTGACTTGGACCTCACCTGCGATCGGGTAATTATTCACTATGCGGAATAGTTTATCTGCATAATCAAACTTTTCAGTATTCAATACTACTTATTAAAAATGCCCATAAAATTACTGCTCAGGACTGCAGTCGATTTTAAAAGTATGGAGATTTTATTAATTTAAAACCAAAAGCGGTTGACAAGGTTTTATGACCGGTTAATAAACCCTGCCCTATTTCATACTGTGACTTCTACTGGCTCCTTTTACGATTTTCCCACAACGTTTCTCCGCAAAAGTCGGTTTTTTTGGAAGTATTTGTTAACTTTTTCGGTTCTCTGAAAGTTTGTGTAAAATGATATGTTGGGAGAGGTTCAAATTCAGAGAGCGTCTTTAAATTTTCAGTCATTGTTTTAATACTATTTTGACCAGTTTCGCTGATTATTCCTTCTCCAGAAGATAGGTAAGTAGCATTGTGTAGAGGCATCAGAAACACTGAGTAGTACATATTAAAATATAGGGTGCAAATTGTTGACAACATGCGGTACAGGTATTTGCTGGATGTTCCCGTCGTTAGGGAGCAATCAGGGCTGTCAATATAAATCTCAGATATTTAATAGGTCACTCACAGAATTGATACTTCAGATTTTAAGGGGAGGTCCATGTATTCAAAGTAGTTGCGATCCGGACATAGAAACAGACCCCCAAACCCGAGTATTTTGACGTCATTTTCTCTCCGTCCGTGGGCAGCTTCTATAGTCTTCATAAAGATGTATAACAGCAAGCTCTGGATTAATGCGGGTGTCTCTACCAGATTAAATGTGACACTGCAACTGAACCCACATTAGTTATCGATAACCTGTTCACCATTTTTAACGGCGAAATCTACTTTCCTAAACTAGATATAAAAGATATTTATCTACTAATCCGAGTTGATTCATCATATGAAGGGTAGCTAAAGGCGAACCCACATCGCGATTATTCCTGTTTGATAAATTGCTTCTATGAAGACATCTTTGATAACCTAATGACAACTACTGAGTACACCTTTACGCAGTATCACAAGAGTAGCAGTCTATTATAATCATATAATCTTGGTTACACTATCGTCGGGAAGATTATACAACCCCATTTTCGGTTCGTGATTCAAGATATCTCTATCTTTTGTTTGAGTATTTGTCATATGCTTTAATCTGTGATTATTTGATGAATACCTCAATTATTCATGTTTTGTGGATGCAAACATCAGTGGTTTTCTAAAGCTTGTTTTCGTTAGTAAAACTAAGACATACAAAATGTTTGATGCCATAGTGAATATGTCATATAGCAAATGATCTGTTGAAAGAAATGAGTTGTAAGTTTAGTCACTCCGTAATGAAATTAACACTTGATCATCAGGATTAAATGGTACTTGTCATCTCAGTGAAATGTTTTCCTCTGGGTACATTTATCTTAACGATCCTATCTAGCATTCATCCTACAAATTGCTTCATCATCTGATAACAACTGGTGTTTACCACGGATACCCATTGTCCACAGCATTGATAAAGTCTTGTTTGAGTCTCTCCAATTTACTTACGCCTGTTACTCCCAATGGAGCATAGGCCGCCGACCAGCATTCTCCAACCCACTCTGTCCTGGGCCTTCTTTTCTAGTTCCATCCAATTCTTGTTCATTTTTCTCATATCTATCTCCATTTCCCGGCGTAATGTATTCTTTGGTCTTCCTCTCCTCCTTCGACCTTGAGGATTCCATATGAGGGCTTGTCTTGTGACGCAGTTGGATGTTTTCCTCAATGTGTGTCCTATCCACTTCCAGCGCTTCTTCCTGATTTCTTCCTCCACTGGGATCTGATTTGTTCTCTCCCACAGTAGGTTGTTGCTTATAGTGTCCGGCCAGCGGATCCGAAGTATTTTGCGTAGACAACTGTTAATAAACACCTGTATCTTCTGGATAATGGCTTTGGTGGTTTTCCAGATTTCCGCCCCATACAGTAGAACTGTCTTGACATTTGTATTGAAAATTCTGACTTTGGTGTTGGTTGCTAATTGTTTTGAGTTCCAAATATCCTTCAGTTGTAAATATGCTGCTCTTGCTTTGCCAATCCGTGCCTTCACATCTGCATCAGATCCACCGTGTTCATCGATGATACTGCCCAAATATGTAAATGTTTTTACATCTTCCAAAGCTTCTCCGTCAATTGTGATTGGATTGGTACATGCTGTGTTGTATCGAAGAATCTTGCTTTTCCCTTTGTGTATATTGAGACCTATTGCTGCTGAGGCTGCAGCTACACTGGTTGTCTTCTCCTGCATTTGTTGTTGCGTATGCGATAGAAGAGCCAGATCATCTGCGAAGTCTAGATCATCCAATTGCATCCTAGCTATCCACTGTATCCCGTGCTTCCCTTCAGATGTTGATGTCTTCATGATCCAGTCGATCACCAGGAGAAAGAGAAAGGGTGAGAGTAAGCAACCTTGCCTGACACCGGTCTTTACTTCGAAGGAGTTTGTCAACTGTCCTCCATGAACGATCTTGCAGTTTAATCCATCATAGGAATTCTGTATGATATTGACTATCTTCTGAGGCACGCCGTAGTGTCGAAGAAGCTTCCATAGGGTTGTTCTGTCCAATCTGTCAAATGCTTTCTTGTAGTCAACGAAGTTGATATAGAGTGATGAATTCCATTCAATTGATTGTTCCACAATGATCCGTAGAGTTGCGATTTGGTCTGTGCACGATCTATCCTTACGGAATCCTGCCTGTTGGTCTCGAAGTTGGGCGTCTACAGAGTCCTTCATCCTGTTTAACAATACCCTGTTGAAGACTTTTCCTGGTATTGAAAGAAGAGTGATTCCCCTGTAGTTGTCACAGTTGCTGAGATCGCCTTTCTTTGGTATTTTGACTAGAAGCCCTTCTTTCCAGTCTTTTGGTACTTGTTCCTCATCCCAAATCTTATTGAAGAGAATGTGGAGTATCCTTGCAGTTGCCGCTACGTCTGCTTTCAGTGCCTCTGCTGAGATGCTGTCTGGTCCTGCTGCTTTGCCACACTTGATTTGTCTGATAGCCGTGCTGATTTCTTCAATTGTCGGTGCGCCAACATCAATTGGGAGGTCCGTGAGTGCTGCTTCGATGTTGGATGGATTCAGTGGGGCTGGTCGATTCAAGAGTTCTTTGAAGTGTTCTACCCACCTGTTTCGTTGTTCTTCAATGTTGGTGATTATCTTGCCTTCCTTGCTTTTCACTGGTCGTTCTGGTTTACGGTGATTTCCAGAGAGTTTCTTTGTTGTGTCATACAGTTGTCTCATGTTTTCTTCTCTGGCAGCCTTTTCCGCCGTCAATGCCAAATCTTCCACATATTTACGTTTGTCAGTTCTGATGCTCCTTTTCACTTGCTAGTTTACTTCTGTGTATTCAGCCTGTGCCTTGACTTTTTCTGCTCTTGTTCGACTGGTATTGATTGCTGCTTTCTTGTTCCTCCTTTCTTGAATCTTATCCAGTGTATCGACCGTGATCCAATCCTTGTGATGGTGCTTCTTTTGGCCAAGAACCTCATGACATGTTGAAGTGATTGCCTCTTTTATCTCTTTCCAGTTGCTCTCCATATTAGTTCCTTCTCCATTGAGTAGATCATGAAAGGCTTGGAACTTATTGCTGAGGGTTATCTTGAATTCATTGAGTTTGTCAGTATCCCGAAGAAGAGCCATATTAAATTTTTGTGATATTGTCCTCCCCGTTGTCCAGTGCCTCTTGAGTTTCAATTTCATCTTGGCGACCAGCAAGTGATGATCTGATTCTATATCAGCTCCTCTCTTTGTTCTCACGTCCTCCATCGTCCTCCTGAACTTTTTGTTGATGCAGATATGGTCGATTTGGTTCTATGTGGTGTGATCCGGTGAAGTCCATGTGGTTTTGTGTATGCGTTTATGTGGGAATATAGTCCCGCCTATGACCAGTTTATTGAAGGCACATAGATTTGCAAATCTCTCACCATTTTCGTTCTTTTCTCCCAGTCCGTGTCGTCCCATGATCTCTTCATATCCGGTGTTGTCGATTCCAACCTTGGCATTTAGGTCTCCCATCAGAATAGTCAGGTCTTTTGTTGGGCACTTCTCGACGATTGACTGCAGCCTATCGTAGAATTGATCTTTAGCGTCTTCATTGTAGTCGTTGGTAGGCGCATAGCATTGGATGACGTTCATTGTAATGCCCTCTTTCTTTGTTTTGAAGGAGGCTTTGATGATCCTTGGTCCATGAGATTCCCATCCTATAAGTGCATTTTGTGCTTGTTTGGACAGCATCAATGCAACTCCTTGTGTATGTGGAGCATTTTCTTGTTCATGTATGGAGTATAACAGCAGCTCCGCTGAAGCTAGTCGTTGTTGTCCAACTTGCGTCCACTGTGTTTCACTGATCCCAAGCACCTCTAAATTGTATCTCCTCATTTCTGCAGCAATTTGGAAAACTCTCCCAGTCTCCCACATTGTGTGAGCATTCCATGTACCTAAATAAATGGTTGCTCTGGTTGTCAAAAGGGGCATCGGCCTCGTGACTTCCGAAGAAACTCGGCTTTCATCATAAGGCGTCATAATTCTTCTAAACGAAGACCTCCTGACTCCCAGGGCAGAGTTTAAATGGTTTGAATAATTTTTTCTGGTTAGCGTTTTTTTAGCGAGTTAGTTTTCTACGGGATGGGGTCGCTAACCCCATGCCCAACCCTCCTCCTTTATCCGGGCTTGGGACCGGCAGTGGCCCCCGGAAAGGGGCTCCAGGCTCCAATTTAGGCTACTCATAATATGTGAGATATTTTGTTGCTCGTTAGAAGTTCAGTGTTGTCCCCAGCAGTTCATAAAGTCATTGTTTATTTGAGTCGGTCTGATATAAGTGTTTTTTGAATAAGGTCTTGTGGGTAAAAAAGGGGTTAAACGCGAAAAGTGCGTTCAAATTGAGTCTCATTGGAGCATATTTCGATTATTCTTATTTTGTCTTAATCGAAATTTAGTTTCCTTTTCTATTTATCATTTACCAGGAATAATGAATTGAGTGTTAGTAAAACTCTCTTTGCTGGTGGTATGGCAGGCATCTTCAACTGGTTAGTAGCTATTCCTCCCGATGTTTTAAAATCTCGTCTACAGAGTGGTACGTTTTATTTTGAAATTTACAAATCCAAATTATTGTACCAGATTACAGTAGATGATTTCTTAATTAGTAAATTTTGTTCGATTTTCTAAACTTGTAAACATGATTTTTATTGTAATCTACTGATCACCTAATTTATATTTCACATGATCTTAGCTGTTCATCTGTTTGTAGTCATTGTTCTCCTATGGCCAACACTGAAATATCTAATACATTTCTCGTAGTTGAATAAAATTATTGTTATTTATATAATATTTATGAGGTTTGATTTTTTTCAAATATCGATAAGAGTTATGACCATGAACATACGTATGATGCAGGCGTAAATTGTTTAGATCCATATGTTTTTCATTTTAATTGTATACGCTAATCTCACTTGATTCTTGATGTTTAAATGTGTTTTTAACAATTTTAGTTGTAAGGATAATGTGAAACTAATTGTTTTTAAATACACAAACGTGGATTTATAACTTAAAGGATATAACTTGGGTTGTTAACAATTAGGTGCTTTTTGAGGACGTGCTTACTTTGAAGAAGTTAGTCAGAATTATCATGAAGCTGTTGCGTGTACTTTACCAGTTCTAACATAATTTGACACGCGTCCTTGTTTTGTTTTTAATTTTCTAACTAGATTCTTTATAATTTTTCGTTTACATTGAAATAAGTTCTGAAATTTTACGCATTAAAGTTAGTTCATTCACTAGGTGAGGTACACTAGGTGTGAGACCTAATGATCCTACTCAGTTAGTTACCCAAGCTGAATTAGGGTTTGAACTTGAGACTTTGTGGCCGAAAGTCGAACGCCTTGACCACTAAGCTATCGCTCCTTATCTAAATAAGTTGGAATAGTTTTTGTTAGATGTAGTTTAGAAAATCCTTTATTTAATAATTTTATGCAGTTATTTCCCTTGATTAACTTGAATAAAATAGGAAGGATATTATGGGTTCATTTTATTTGGTAGATTACCTTCAACTGTTTACAATCGTAATCGTATCAAATGACAATATTACATTAAATCATGAATATAGGCGACCGAAAAGTGGAAATAGCAATGATTATCAGTATTATATATGTATAATTAGTTTTTTTATCTACTCCATTTGTTTTGTGATAGTTTTTAATAAACGATATGGCCGATGTGGATAAATTTATCTACTTCATCTCCAGCACAACCACTAATAGCTCCTCATGTGACTGAATTATTGATACAAGGCTCTAAACAAATTGTTATCATAAAAAGTATCTTAAGTTTCCAGGAAGTCATCACTTGTAATAAAACGAAATATTAACGCGAAATAAACATGAATAAATGACATTTAGCGGATAGCAGGATGGGTCACTCATATGTCAGTGATATTAATAATTAATTTATTAGGTATAATTATTATTCATATCAGAAAGAATGTTCAGTGTTGTTTTAAGTTACCTCAATCTATAAAATCTATCCACAAGATAAATTCTCAGTACTTATGGGTTTTGGCTGGTGATATATTCTTGTATATATTATACAAAAAATATCCTCTTTTGATATCCTCAATATTTTATAAAAAGTACCACACTTTGGTGTTTTTAACTATCAGAGCTTAGATGGCGTAATGATTTCTTTTAGTTAAAGCTCTAGTGGAATGATCCCATAATCGAGTTTTCTGAATTTACACTTTTTTATGTCTCGTAAATGTAGCTTCTGAAGGTGTTTATCCCAATGGAATCCGATCAGTATTCTCTGAACTTATTGCAAAAGAAGGCTTTTTGGGATTGTATCGGGGTATGACTCCGGTGATGCTTCGAGCATTTCCTGCGAATGCTGTAAGCTTTGATTGTTATTAAATGGAACGTAATATTTTGTTTTTATAAGTGGTTTATATTTTATCTTTAATAATTATTTGGTGTCGTTCGGATTCCCATATATAGTCTCTACTACTACTAAAATGTAAACGGACAAGTTTTCTTGAACTCGAATTGTATTTGCCATGATCTGTTAAAGAATATTAATTGGAACTTCATTTAATAGCTGTTTATTACTAGTTCAGAATCGTTTCTATAAAAGGGGAAATCCAGGAAAAAATTTACATCATTTACTTCCTAACGATCATCGATTATATCCATATCTGGAGAGTGCGTTGATTTTGTTCTATTTACGCTAGTTTCATCAAAACGTTAAGGTAAAACCAGTTCCCAAGTGTACAAATAAAAAATATTGTTGCTCTTGACTAGTCACTTTTTTGTATCTCGAGATATTTTCTCATTGCTAGTCAAAATAATGTTGATGCTGACACATCAGTTGTTCATCGCTCTACAAGTAACAACGGTCAATTGTTGTGTCATTTTGCATAAGCACGGCAATAGTCTAGTTGATGGGGAAACACTGAACAACAAATACCATGTAAGTATATGTATGCTTCAGATTTATTTCCGAACAGTTCATCTCTAGGCGTTTTGTTTATTATATTTTCATAATTTAACATCCGGCTGACTAGTACCGAATGGAACAAAACACGCGTCCTAGACTCAACGACTAGTCCCAATCCTTCTATTTAAAAAAAACGTGTGTCAAGATAAGATTTGCACATTCAGTCAACACTACCAAAAATGAGATTATTAAGAAATTCAGTTTATAACTACAAACAGTTATAATTGTGATATATTGTTTCACTTATTCTGTTTTATGGGCTCTTAGTTATTATATTTCATATTGTCGCAATTTCTACCTTTTTAGGCATGCTTTCTCGGTTACGAAGTTGCATTGAAGTTTCTGGATTATGCATTCCCCGGACTGTGATAATGTTTCGACGTGTTCATCTTGATACATTTGTCAACTGATTTTGAAGTCGGGTTACTTTGATTTATATTTACAGAGTGGATTATTATTTTCGCTTCATGTACATTTTTGCTTAAAAATTTATCAAGATTAGTATTATTGTTGAGAAACATTACCATTCTGCGAATTGCGATTTCGAAATTTTATTTTACTAGCTACTGTGAAATATTTTTCAATTAATTGATTTATGATAACTCACCTGATGTTCTTATTCTTCGTTGATTCGTTCCCTAAGCGTTTTTAAACGTTTCTTTTTACACCCCAATATATAAGTAACTTCTGACTCATCTGGTGTCAATTGGCTGTTTATATTCAAGACAAATGGTCGCTATGTAGTCACGTCGATGGATCAGTGCCACAATCCGACTCCCTCCTAATCGGTGGCATATTCAATTAGTAATAGTGCAGACGGTGCTCACTAATTCGGATGAGATTTTAGGTCTTTAGTGTTATGTCACAGTCCAGTTACAGGCTTAGTAGAGTAATCTCCATCTCTTTCCATACGTGGACGAGTGTGCTGTTCTATTTTGGTTAGTATAGTCGGATTGCCTGGGGTCTGTTATCTACGTATGAGCCATACAAGATGAGATTAAAGTAGAGCAGTTCGTTTTATGCTAAGCGTGAGGCGTAGCCATTCGGGGTAGGTGACATTTCAGTTTCTGGGTATAGGTTATATGTATTTCGAGACCACCGGTTGAGAAAATGTAAGTCTTGAAGTAGAGTATTGGGTAAAAACGTGATGCTGGTCGGCAGGGTAATGGGTCTTCACTAGGTAAGGTGGCTCGAATGTGAAGCATGTATTTGGCTACCAACTGCCACGACAGGAGACATTGCTCGACATAGGAGTAAATCAGAAGATAACTGGCTTCCCAATTTGCTTGTCAGTGAGCGATGTGGGGACTTCTTGCTTGACTATAGTGCGAATACGATATTTGATGGCATGGCCCGAAATCGGTGATAGCGTCGCAGATGTACATATTCTTAATTTTCCCTCTGTTTCCGAAAACTTTCAGCAGGTAGTTCTATGGTAAATCCGGCCGATGATCAAATATTAAGCTCTGCTTTACGTATGGCTGGTAGTGGTTGAAGTTGCTTCGATCTGATGTTCACAAACTAGAAGTTGACTTGTAGCTGTAAAAATAGACAAACTGACAACAGTTTGTAGAACAAAAATATATGTAGATACAATTAGTTACGAACTTTAACTTTGAAGACTGAAAAGAAAGTATATAAAAGTGGTTGTACTAGTTCAAGATTGTGTACAAAATTGCCGTAGTCATACCATATTTCACAAAGATGTTCAATAGCCAAAAACTCAGGCGGTAAGCCTCGAGAGAGCTGTAGCGTGGTGTCGAGTTGAGCTTGACTATGAACACCTCTACAAGACTACGTGCCAATTAACCAATAAGATCCCAGTAGGCCAATATCAGAAGACAGATGATGGCTGTAGTCGGGATGTATTTGTTGGCGATCTCGTGGTATCGAAGGAATACCGAGATCATGCCAAAGGAGTACAAGCGTGGTTACTGAGCGTAACCGAATTCGTAAGTATAATAGCTGTCATTAGCACAGTTAAACAAACGAGCACAGTAAAACAGTCACTGGTACAATTGGTTATAATAATAATTGTTTTCATTGAACCAATCGCGTTCTGTTGACAAAAGTAGGTCACTACAGGAGCTCCCCGCTAGAAAGGGTTTACACTTTCGATAGTTAGCGGTCTGATATGTGGGACTGATCGGCAGATGTGCCGTTGTAGGACGGAGGAAATTGGCGAAACAGGAAGTGATCGTTGATCCTCGAGTTGCCAACGAAGGTCTTTTGCGCAGAAAGTTACCAGGAAGAGTGTGCTGTATTTGTTGGTCGAATTAGCATACCACACCAGAGTGGTTTGTATCCAGGATCTGAAGATTGCGTTCGTAGGGATGCGAACCAGAAAACGCTGCAGACGTAGGACGAAACCACGTTGAGCCAAGAAACCGGACGCGACCATAACGATCAAGCGTATGCCAGGCGAATTCGAGACCAGATAATCGACTGAGTGAGTTGACTAGAGCTTGGGTGGCCAAACCAGCTTTTGCCAAAGTTGACTGAAGTCGACGTTATCAAACGTGCGATGGTCGGAGGCGTGGGCTCAGGATACATAAAAAATCAAAAAAAGAAAAGTGTTGCATGCGTGTAGTATAGGAATAATCCTACACCGTATCTGTTATTGACTGTGCGTTTAGTCGCGAAAGCGTACGGGTAATCGCACTCGGCGACCGGAACGTGAGACCGTAGTCTCGTTCGTACTTCGTGAGCCTGCGATTTCATCCGAGGTCAAGGGCGGCGTGGTCTGCCGATCTGGACGTGAGACGGAAGTCACGTGAAAAGGGCCTTCGTAAGGCTGTTGTAGAGGTTTGCGTACCGAATCTACTCGTATGAAAACATGTGAACAGGTAGATAACTCTCGAGGGAGAGCGACCTGTCGATGTTGTATTCGAGTTGACACCGGAGACAGCGTTCGCATAAATGCAGACAGTCGATGGACGTAGTCTGATTTACCGAAATCATTACTGCTCCGTGGTGTGAAGAATTCCCCAGGCAGACGCAATGTCGTGCCGTATACAAGTTCAGCGGCGGAACATTGGATATCTGCCTTCAAACTCGTTCTGATGCCTAAGAGAACGAGCGGTAAGGTTTCGTGTGCTCGGAGAGCACTTTTAAGTTGTCGATGAAACCGTTCGACTAAACCATTCGATGCTGGATGGTAGGCAGTAGTGCGTATGCGTTCCGTACCAAGCAGCCGGGTCAGTGAGGAGAATAATGCGGACTCAAATTGTTGTCCTCGGTCAGTCGTGACAGTCGAGGGACAACCGTACAATGCTATCCATCGTTCTACGAAGCGGTGAGCAACTGTCTCCGCCGTGATAGACGTGATGGGAATAGCTTCGGGCCATCTTGTAAAACGGTCAATGCACGTGAGTATGTGATCATACCCATGCGATGGTGGCAATGGTCCTACAATGTCTATATGAACGTGATCAAAGCGAGCATCAGGCGTAGCGAACGTGCCAATGGGGGCAGCTACGTGCCTGTGCACTTTTGATCGTTGACACTGTTAGCATTGCTTTACCCACATACGGACATCTTTATTCATGGACGGCCAGACGTATCGTGCAGCGATGAGACGTAATGTGGCTGCGATACCTGGATGAGACAATCCATGAAGGGCATCGAAGACGAGACGGCGATAGGTAGAGGGTATGATGGGTCGAGGAAGACCGGTAGAAGTACCACATAGGATAGTACTTGAGCTAGTAGCTAGGGGTAATTCCTGACACTGAAGAGAAGAAGATTGTTGTATTTTTGTACAGACAGGATCGTTTGCTTGCGCGGCGGCCATAGCAGGAAGATCGAGCACCGGTAAGGTAACTGCATTCGTCTGGATACGTGAAAGAGCATCGGCAACATAGTTCGACTCGCCTTTAATGTGACGAAGGTCTGTCGTGAACTGGGAGATATAGTCCAAATGTCTGCACTCTCGTGGTGAGTAGCGGTCAGACTTGGTATGCAGGGCATACGTTAAGGGCTTATGGTCGGTGAATAAAATGAATTGGCGTCCTTCTACTGTGTGCCGGAAATGTTTGATGGCGCAGTAGGCTGCAAGCAGCTCGCGACCAAAAGCGCTATATCTCGTCTCCGTGGAAGTAAGGCGTCGTGAGAAAAAATTCAAGCGGTTGCCAAGTAGGTCACTACAGAGCACAAGACTTATTCCAATAGGGTAGAATATTCGTGGTTTACAAAGGTAGGAGAATGTATCACCAGAATTCGTATTAAACTTGGTTGTCGTTGCAGTGTGGATCCGTTTTTTTATACTGTTGTTTACTTAAGATAAAAGCAGCTCATTGTTAAGCATGTATCATTTTTTCTGGACAGGTTTCACAGATATTTTTATACTGGCTAATAACCGTTGATTTTTAGCTCGTACCATAACCACTATGTTGCACACAAATAGTCTAGTGATAGTGAAGAGAATTTTTTCGAATTTATGGGTAGTATGAGAGCTGTTATAAATGGATAAAATATATAGGACGGATTTCACTTGTGAAACCTTGAAAGCATATGTGCTTGTGGTTTGAAAGTCAAACATTTAAGACTGTCAGGCATAGAAAGGGTGACCTAAATAGAAAAGATATTTTTAGAGTACTCTGCAATTGATGATAAAAACATCGAGGTAAAGACTATCACAAAAAGACGTATATTAATTTACCAGGTGCTAATGTATGATATTCTCAGAGCAACGTCAGCTTTGTTTACAGATAGAGTCTGAATGAAAGAAGGAAATAATTATTCAAGATTATTGGTGTAGCGGTAAATGGATCCCCAAAATAAATAGATCTAAGTTTTCCACATATGATGCTGACCACAGTTTTAATGGACACATCTAGCTGAAGGCGCTCGGCCAAGCATCCGCACCAGATCACGTGTGGGAACGCCGTGCTCAACATCTGTCACAATCGCTAGCCAGATTAGTTCAAACGATCCTCGATAATAATAATAATAATTTATATTCTGAAAAATGATAATTACAGAATTCACGCCAGTTTACAGGCATGATCAATTTGATATAAATAATATCATAATATGTACAGAACAAACATGTGATATGAGTTTTAAGTTTACTAGTTCAGTAATTGTTTAGGTATTACAGCGATTCAATGCATCAGCCGATATGTTGCCAAAGTTGACTGAAGTCGACGTTATCAAACGTGCGATGGTCGGAGGCGTGGGCTCAGGATACATAAAAAATCAAAAAAAGAAAAGTGTTGCATGCGTGTAGTATAGGAATAATCCTACACCGTATCTGTTATTGACTGTGCGTTTAGTCGCGAAAGCGTACGGGTAATCGCACTCGGCGACCGGAACGTGAGACCGTAGTCTCGTTCGTACTTCGTGAGCCTGCGATTTCATCCGAGGTC